GAACTGCAGATGTGGTAGAAATAGTAAGAGAACTAGAATTAGAAAAAATACATGGAAGCAAATGAAAATGAAAACATGACAGTTCAGAACCTTTGGGATGTAGCAAAGATGATCCTAAGAGGGAAATATATTGCAATACAGGCCTTCCTCAAGAAATAAGTCTCAAATCACAACCTAACCTTACACCTAAAGGAGCTAGAAAAAGAACATCCTCATTGGGGAAAAACTGAGAGCTTTTCCCCTAAAGTCAGGAACATGACAGGGATGTTCATTCTCACCACTGTTGTTCAACATAGTACTGGAAGTCCTAGCCTCAGCAATCAGATGATAAAAAGAAAGGCATCCAAATCAGCAAAGAAGACAAACTTTCACTCTTCTCAGACAATGTGATACTCTATGTAGAAAACCCAAAAGATTCCAGCAAAAAATTGTTAGAACTGATACAGGAATTCAGCAAAGTCACAGGATATAAAATCAATGCACAGAAGTCAGTTGCATTTCTATACACTAACAATGAGGCAGAAAAAAAAGAGAAATCAAAGAATCAATCCTATTTACAATTGCACCCCAATCATAAGATATGTAGGAATAAACCTAACTAAAGAGGTAAAGGATGTGTACTCCGAAAACTATAGAACACTCATGAAAAAAATTGAGGAAGACTCAAAGAAATAGAAAAAACGTTCCATACTCATGGATTGGAAGAAGAAATATTGTTAAAATGTCTGTGCTACCCAAAGCAATCTACACATTCAATGCAATTCCTATCAAAAAATTTTCACAGAGCTGGACAAACAATCCCCCCTTTGAATGGAACCAGAAAAGACCCAGAATAGCCAAAGGAATGTTGAAAAAGAAAACCAAAGCTGGAGGCATCGCAATTTCAGACTTTAAGCTGTACTACAAAGCTATAATCATCATCAAGTCAGTATGGTACTGACACAGAAACAGACACATAGATCAATAGAACAGAATAAAGAACCCAGAAATGGACCCTCAACTCTGGTCAAGTAAACTTCAACAAAGGAGAAAAGAATATCCAATGGAAAAAAGACAATCTCTTCAACGAATGGTGTTGGGAAAATTGGACAGCCACATGCAGAAGAATGAAGTTTTACCACTTTCCTACACCATACAGAAAAATAAACTCAAAATGGATGAAAGACCTAAATGTGAGATAGGAATACATCAAAATCCTGGAGGAGAACACAGGAAGCAACCTCTTTGCCTTAGCCGCAGCAACTTCTTGCTAGACATGCCTCCAAAGGCAAGACAAAGATAGTGTTTTTAACAAATGGTGCTGGAAATATTGGATATCTATATGCAAAAAAAATGAATAGATCTTTCTATGCTATTCGCGTAGACTGAGACTGAAATATGCTTTCCTGGGTCTTGTGCTTGCAGAGGGCAAATGGTGGGACTTTTCAGCCTTTACAACTATGTGATCCAGTTCCGTATAAGAAATCATATGTATCCTGTTTATTTTGTTTCCCTGGAGAGCCTTGACTAATACAGAACCATACAGTACCATTTTGGAAATGTAAATCAAAACTACAATGAGATATCACTATATACCTATTAGGAAGGATAAAATTAAACTGACTGATCATATCAAGTATTGGCAAAAATGTGGGGGAACCTTAATTCTTGAGTTGATTTCATTGCTATTAGGAATGTAAACTGGTACAACTACTTTGGGAAACAATTTGACCATTTCTTGAAAAGTTAATCCTATACCTACTATATCTAGGTGTTTACTGAAAGGAAATAAAAACATATGCCTATTCAAAGACTTGTGCATGGGTGTTTATAGTAGATTAATTTTCTTTCTTCCTTCCTTCCTTCCTTCCTTCCTTCCTTTCTTTCTTTCTTTCTTTCTTTCTTTCTTTCTTTCTTTCTTTCTTTCTTTCTTTTTCTTCTTTCTTTTTCTTCTTTCTTTTTCTTCTTTCTTTCTTTTTCTTTCTTCTTTCTCTCTTTCTTTCTCTCTTTCTTTCTTCTTTCTTTCTTTCTTCTTTCTTTCTTCTTTCTTTCTTTCTTCTTTCTTTCTTTCTTTCTTTCTTTCTTTCTTTCTTTCTTTCTTTCTTTCTTTCTTTCTTTCTTTCTTTCTTTCTTTCTATCTAGAGTGTGTGGGAGCAGGGTGGGGAGGGGCATAGGAAGTGAGAGAATCTTAAACAGGCTCTACACTCAGCACAAAGCCTGATGCGGGGCTCTCTGAGATCATGACCTGAGCTGAAATCAATAGTCCAACACTTAACTGACTGAGAAACCCGGGTGCCCCTATAGTAGCTTAATTTTAATAGCACAAAATGGAAAACAGTCTAAATGTGTAGCAATAGGTGAATGGTTTAAAAAATGTTGTATATCCATACAATGGAATATATTTAGTAATAAAAATGAATGAATATTGGGGTGCCTGGATGACTCAGCCATTAAGCATCTGCCTTTGGCTCAGGTCATGATTCCAGGGTCCTGGGATCGAGCCCTGCATCGGGATCCCTGCTCCACAGGAAGCCTGCTTCTCCCTCTCACACTCCCCTTGCTTGTGTTCCTTCTCTGGCTGTCTCTCTCTGTCAAATAAATAAGTAAAATCCTAAAAAAAAAAAAAAGAATGAATATTGATACATACAGCAACACAGATACATCTCAAAATAATTGTTCAGAGTGAAACAAACTATATAAAGAGAGTATACATACTGTATGTTTTATATAGAGTACATACTGTATGTTTCTATTTATATAAAATTTTAAGAAGTGCAAAGTAATGTATATTGAGTAGAAGCATATCAATGGTTGAGAGGGATGGGGCAGGAGGAAGGGATTACATAAGATCATAAGAACTCTTTTGGAATTGGGGCGCCTGGGTGGCTCAGTCGTTAAGCGTCTGCCTTCGGCTCAGGTCATGATCCCAGGTTCCTGGGATCGAGTCCCACATCGGGCTCCCTGCTCGGCGGGAAGCCTGCTTCTCCCTCTCTCACTCCCCCTGCTTGTGTTCCCTCTCTCGCTGTGTATCTCTCTGTCAAATAAATAAATAAAATCTTAAAAAAAAAAAAACTCTTTTGGAATTAATGGATACATTCATTACTCTAATTGTGTATATGGCTCATGATTGCATGCATATGTCAAAACATCTAATTGTACACTTTACGTATGAGCAATATATTATATATCATGTATACCTCAATAAAACTGCTAAACACACACACACACACACACACACACACACACACATAGTTTCTCTCTTAAACTATGTTGGAAGAGATTATTCAATTAAGCAGTTACCAAGTAAAAAGACTGGTTAGTAGGTCTAACTCTGCCTTGAGAAAAAATTTTCCACAGTTTAACATAGGGGCCTCCTTAAGGCTGCAGGATATAAGAGGAAGAATATATGAATTGGATGATTTTGTTTCACTATTTTAAAACTAGTCAGCATCATGAATGTGGCAATTCCTTTCTCAAGCCTATGTTAGAGAAGGTAACTTTCACAGATATGTCCCCTGCTTATATTACACTCATATATTCAATGCCGTACCAACCCATCACACAAATGCTCTTGTCACGACAACTTACATCCCATAATAATTAAACTTGGTAACTAATGGGAAGATGAAGATGTTTCTGATGTTTTTTTTTTAATCTTCTTAGAAATTCTCAATATTTTATGAAAACCATATACGGTTGTGTTTCAGATGACTCAAATCACTTTTCAGATACTCAGAATAACATTTGAAGTCTTCATAGGCCCTTCTTATTCAACATCTAGTATCCTTTTACTAAAATCATGTTATTCCATATAAATAATAATATTCTGAATAACTGTTACTCAATATAAAGGGAAACAGAGATGGTGAACTTAAGTGGCAATTTTAAAACAGTCCCAAAACTCTTTGGCAACCCTCTCATCAACAGATTATATAGAGACAAGGCTAAAGATCATTGTTATTACTTTCATCTCTATACCTCCTCATCAGTGACCACTACAATTTGTTTTATATATTTGCCAATTTATATGTGTCCATTTGACTATCAAGGCAAGCAGAAGCCTGTAAAAAACTTGTATTTTATTTCCATTTCTCTCCCCCCGCCTTACCTTCCAGATATTCTTTTTTTTCCCTCTTTCTAAATTTTGTTTTGTTTTGTTTTGTTTTGTTAAAGATTTATTTATTTATTTGAGAGAGCAAGAAAGTACATGAGAGGGGTTAGGGTCAGAGGGAGAAGCAGACTCCCTGCTGAGCAGGGAGCCCGATGCGGGACTCCGGGATCATGACCTGAGCCGAAGGCAGTCGCTCAACCAACTGAGCCACCCAGGCGCCCCTGTTTTGTTTTGTTTTAAGACAAGTATTATTTGTTCTCTTTCTTCGTGAAGCTCTCATATGGATTTGAAGTTAGAATTTTTGGTGGCTTAGTGGAGCAAAGAGTTGGATTGAGAAAGGCATGGTTTGCTCCTTGCCTTAGTGGAAAAGTTAATTTTTTATCACCCTTCCTCCCTAGAATTTTGATGTAGACAATTGACATCTGTTCATTCTTATGAAAACCTTGGTGGTTCTACACACGCAGCAATGGGGCTCTGCAATAGGGAAGCAGTTGACGGTAGTGTGGACCACCATGACTGTGCAGGCAGACAAAGTTATCTGCCACAAACCCCCTTCAAACCAACTTCTTCAGAAATAGCATCGGGTGCCTGGGTGGCTCAGATGGTTAGGCGTCTGCCTTCGGCTCAGGTCTGATCCCGGGGTCCTGGGATCGAGCCCCACATCGGGCTCCTGGCTCAGCCGGGAGTCTGCTTCTCCCTCTCCCTCTGCCTCTCCCACTGCTCATGCACTCTCTCTCTCTCTCTGTATCTCTGTCTCAAATGAATAAATAAAATCTTAAAAAAAAAAAAAGAAATAGCATCACTTGGGAAGATTCCCATTAAAATGGTTAAGTGTTTGTTTTTTAATGGTTAAGTTTTAACACATCCTTCTTTTTTCATTTCACTCTTGTATTTGTGTTTTCTCTTCCAGCTGCTGAAGGAATGGTGTGCAACCACCTGTGTTCAAGCAATGGCTGTTGGGGACCGGGCCCCGAACAGTGCTTGTCCTGCCGTCGCTTCAGCAGAGGAAGGAGCTGCATCGAGTCGTGCAACCTCTATGATGGGTAAGGCATCTTACAACATCACCTTTACCTCATAAGCTTCGAGGCGCTGATTGCTTCAGATTTTTAAATGATAAGAAAATGGTAAAATTGCAGAATGTGTGTGCCGGCCAGGGTTTTTAAGGGAAGCCCTTGTTGCGTGAAGGAGACAACAACGCATAGAAGAATTGTTTTAAGGGGAAAGAATTTTATTGGAAATAAGTCCAAATATATGTTGACTATTACACAAACAAAAAACCATACTGAAATAGATCATTCTTAATAAACTGTAGCCGTTTATACTGAAGCAAAATTGAAAAATATATTCTTACTTTCATGATGAAGGAGATTGTTACAAGTAATCTTTCCTCTCAAATGTCCCAATAATATTTTTTCACATCCTTTCCTATTAATTTTCATCTAGAATTACTGCATAACTGGGGCGCCTGGGTGGCTCAGTCATTAAGCGTCGGCCTTCGGCTCAGGTCATGGTCCCAGGGTCCTGGGATCGAGCCCCGCATAGGGCTCCCTGCTTGGCAGAGAGCCTGCTTCTCCCTCTTCCGCTCCCCCTGCTTGTGTTCCCTCTCTCGCTATGTCTATCTCTGTCAAGTAAATAAAATCTTCAAAAAAAAGAATTACTGCCTAACTTTTGAATTTTTTTCCATCCAAGTTATGTGTCTTTTTGATTGTGTATTAGCAACAAACGATACACATTTCTATGTCTCTGACAACTGCTTAGCCCTATAGAAAAATTGCCTTTGTAGTTTCTAGTTGAAGGGGCTTTTGATAGTGTTCTGCCACTTTCTAAAGATAACCTAAGCAGTATTTTAAATCAAGAATTTTAAATTCCTATTGGTACTATAATAATCACATTGCCAGCAATAAAACCTAGTATATATCTTGTTGCATGGCATTTCATATACTCATAAAATCAGTTTATCATAACATACCATTTCATGCATCACAGTTGTCCTTCATTAGTGTGATAATACATTTTTTAGTACTGTTCCTGAGTTAAATTTTCTTATATTTCTCACTGAAAGGATTTTCAACAGTTCTGTAAAAGTGTAGTTTTGAAGTTCTTTATTGCGTTTCTTCTTTTACCTCATGAACTGTCCCATTTTATTTTTTATAGGTTCAAATCTTTATTGTTTTAAAATTCTACATGTCTTTTATGATACAATATTTTGTTATTTAAATAACCTCTAAGTGACTAATATATAGTGAATATACTTGTTTTGAAATCAAACCATGAATTCCAGTTTCATCAATATGATTATAGAATTGTCCCATTTTAAACAACTGTTTTCATGATCTGAGATAACATTGTACTTTTGCATTTTATATCAGGAAGTTAGAAATCTAAGGATCATAATAATATTAACACGTCTCTTTTTTGAAAGATGACCAAAACCAATTCCCTTCATGAAATTTAGAAAAAAAATAAAATTAGAAGTTTAAGTGTGAAACAGTTTAAAATAAGAATTTAATTGTTTTTCAGGAAAATTCCAGCTTATAGTTTTGTAAGGTACAATCAGCTCATAAATTTGATAATAGATAGCAAATTATGTGTTGCTTTTCTCATTAAATTGTAGTCATGTTTATTCTCATTATTATAAATGAATGATATGTTCTGTACATATAAAATACTTCAGATCAAAATATGGTTATTTGTTGTAAAGCCATTGATGCCATAACATGTAACTAATAGCCTTTAATTCCATTTAGTGAATGTTATAAGTTTATTGAATATATACAAATGGAGTTTTAAAGAGGGACTGGACTCTAGAAATCATCTTCTCTAAGAGCAATATCTTATAAAGAGTGAAAACTAGTAGAATTAAGTGTTGGCCAGTGTCATTCCACTGTAGAAGAATCAAGCCAACACTAGAACTCAGGGCATCTGGTCTCCATCCTGCTACTTTTCCAGATGCCATTATTTTTCCTTAGTATTTTTAACCTTGTCAGAAATGTGAAGTGGACAAATATGTGGATGCATATACCATCCTCTCTCACATCTGCAAAATAATACATGAGAAATACATGTTTCCTAAATAAACAACACTGATTACCAGACTGTTTTTGGAAAGTTTAACATTTTCCAAGTCATTAAATCAAATGTATTCAAGAAATACAAAGTTTTTAATGTATTTTACAATAGCAATAGGGCTCTGGGAAATCATATATAAGGGTTGGTTTGAAAGATAATAAATGAAAGTACCTTGTAAAAGTCTGATGTAATTCTAGCCTATGCAATGATAGATTTTCCCATCTCCAATCTTGTGGTACTGACTAATTTCTTCCAACATTGCCTGGAAGTTAAAACAGCCTTTGAGGAATAATGAATTCAAATCCTAACTTCATCACTTACTCATTTTCAATCTTGGATAAATAACCTAATTGTTCTAAACTTAGTTTTCTTATATGGAAAACGGGGATAATAATGGTGTCAATTTCATAGGATAATTATGGTCATTAAATGAGAAAATGCATAATAAAGTCTTGTTAGAATTTTTACTACTAAGATGATTATTATTTTCTTTTTGTGTCTATAAATCTAAGCTGATTAGATGGTTAGGTAGAACAGTCACCTTAAAAATGTTGAAAACAAATACAAATAAGACATTTACCAAAATCAGGTCACATATATTTATATAACTTTTATATGAGAAGAAATCCTCAAAAGAGAACTTTTTGAAGGGGAAAAGAAAATCAGTTATTTCCTGGATGTTAGCATTCAAATCCAGGTCATAGAAGCCACTGTATTTCAGCAACTCTTAACTACAGTGAACAAGCATTGAGAATGAAAGAGAAAACTCATTGCAACACAATCTTAAAACTGTCTTATTTGGCAACATGGTCAAACACTTTTGAAACATTAAGAATAAATGGGAACATCAGAAAGAGTGCCAGTCTAAGCTCTTTGTAAGCATTTATATTTAATAATCACAACCTCTCATTGAAACACAGTTTTTCCCTTTTACAAAGGATATTTACAAAATGAAGTCTAGAGATGTTAAGGGATTTAAGGCCTAGAAGTATTAGTGTTGGTGTTGGGAACAACCCGCCAAATCTGGGAAGGACTTGACTCTGAAACATTTGCTCTGGATCACAGGATTGGCTAAGGTAACACACACAGCAAGACTGTGAGAAATATAGAGTAGTAAAAAAGTGACAAAAAGCTCAGTATGCAAAACTCAGCTCAATAGACAGTGATTTGTTAGGTCAGATTCAAGTGAAAGGGGAACTCTGACAAAGTCATAGTATAATCAATAGGAAACGGGGAAGAGAAAGCAATGATGGAGACAGTGACAATGAAGAGCAGAAGTAATAAAAATTAAAAGAAGGATCAGTTCTGAGGGCAAAAAGGAAGAGAGCCCAAAGCCATACAAATAGAAGTCTATCTATAGAGGAAAAGGCAGCTAGGTTGTATCTCCATGACTTTTTATGACATATTCACTTTATTCTTCAACTCTGTGTATGGGGAAGGGGTTTTCAAGAAGAGAAAGAAAAGCATGACCAATGTTTTAGTACCACAAAAATTATGACCTTCATTCAGTAAAATAACCCTTTAGCAACCCGAGAAACTGTACTCAAAAAAATAAATAAATAAAAAAGGAATTTGCTGATGGTTGCAGGTTTTGCTGTTAACTGTTTTATAATTTCATTATACAGATGATACTTTTGATTCTCTTCACAATTAACCTACTGTCCTCTTTTCCCCCATACTAGGTCATTTTGACTTTTTTATTCGAAGATTTCCTCTGTTAAGCACTGTATATAATTCATGTTAATAAAACATACAAAAGAAAATCTGTTTCTATGTAATTGAGTTTTTAAATTCAAGAAAATCTGTAAGAAGATTAATCCCTAGCAAGCCAACACCTCACTTTAAAAATGCAAAATCCATGTAACTAAATATGTGCATTGATACCTAACTAAACCACCAATTTATGCTATTTATTTTGAAAACCCAAGCTTAATTATCTTGCCTTAAAATATGTGTAGTTTTAATTTAACCAACAGAAAAATAGCCCACCTTTTGGATTTCTATCATTTATTAAGGCTTTATAGTAACCAAATGGGATAGTTCACTATGAAAATAAGTGAACACTTCATTCTAGGGAAAAATAAATTTAAATTTATCACCTAACTAATCCATAATTGCCATATTTGCAGTGCTTTTAGTTTGAAAGAGCTCATGATATACAGACACAAAATAATACAGAAGCTGTAAATATTTAGTCAAGTTTTGTTAATGACTTACAACTGGCATTCTAAATTGTCTTTACCCAGTGCCTCATCCTCTCATACATTAGTGGGAATGGGGTATTTAAACATATTGTACATGAATGATACCCAATTATTGAAATGAAAATTTTACAGTAGATATTGTTTAGAAAACTTACTATTGATAACATTTAACATTCAAATCAAATGTAAGGTTGTGGGAAGGGATAACCATCATCCTAGATTTTAATTAGAAAGTTTTAGAATGTTACCATTTAACTATTTTTTATTTTATACCATATAGAATTACTTCAAAAAGGTCTTAAGTTGAAAAAGATGTGATATTAGATCAATAATCTAAGAATATAAAATCTGCCATAAAAAGATACTTTCTCTAATTCTCCAAGGCAGCTATTTTAAAAGAAGAAAAGAAATCAAAGCATTTTTTGAAGTTTCACCAAAAATAAATTGAAGAGTCTTGGGATTTGAAGGACAGGGATGAGAAATATCATGTAACTTAGCAACAAGAAAAATACAATAGTTCTTTCAGAGTTTAAAAAGAGCCAAGAGTAAAATTTTATATAGACACAAACAGGCACAGCTTTACTTAAAAAAAGATAAAAATGATTCTGTTGTGTCATCAGAAGAGTCATACTTTTTTTTTTTTTTTTTTGAGACTGCTAGAATATCTCTCACAAGAGAGAGGTTTCCTGAATGAGTCTATCATTGAACCCAATGGAGGGCAAGGAGAGCCATCTGGCTGCAGTTTATCTCTTCTCCTAATAGAGAATTTATTCCATAATGTACAGCGAAATGATTCCAATGCTCCTGGCACATAAAGAAACAGACTCTAGAAGTTACTCTGCCAATAGGACTTTTAGCAGATGTTGCTTCATTTGTTAAGTTGACAGCTCGTTTGCTTATATCACCTCATGCAGCTGATGTTTTCACAGTGAATTTCGAGAGTTTGAGAATGGCTCCATCTGTGTGGAGTGTGACCCCCAGTGTGAGAAGATGGAAGACGGCATCCTCACCTGCCATGGACCGGTAAGCTTGCAGGCATCTGTGGTTGTGTTGGCTTATTTGGCTCATGTGTGAATGTTTGTTATGTCATTCCTTTATCACTATCCATCCATTCAACAGGTGTTTGTAGCATGCTAGGGGGAATCATGTTTGATATTCCTCCCTCAAGAGGCTTACAGTTTAGTAGTAGAGATGAAATATTTACAAATCTGATTTTTTAAATATTTATATCCCAGATAATATATTTAAAAAGTAGATATGGATATGCCCTTGAAAATTGCAGTGTTGAAAAGAAAAGAGAATATGTAAGTAATTAGATTGAACAAAATAAGTAATAAAATATAAATATGTATCAATTGTTATAGGAACACAAATGAGAGATAAATTAATCTGTCTTTGGGATGGAAAGTAGGGCATTAAGGGGGTCCATAGAGAAGTGATGTTTGAGCTATGCTTTGAAGAAGAATCTAGAAAAAAAGAAACATGCAAAGATATGCAAAAGTAAAATTTCATGGTGTGTTTGAGGTAAACTATAATACATTCATATCTCTGTCTAATTATTTATTATGGCATTGTGAAGGACATTGTGAAAGACAGAAGGGAGAGGCGAACACTTATAAACTAAAATCTAAAACAGTGTGATAAATACTATGGCAGAGAGAAAAACAGAGCTATGAGAATGGAAGAGGGGCTATGGGATCAGGAAAGTCTTGATGGATAAATTGGCATTTACATGTTTGAAGTTAGCCTTATAAAGAAAATGGTAATTATTTTTTAGTCCTCCCTTTGGTTCCCATAATTCAGGCTTTTTCCAATGAGGTCAATAATGACTTTGTCATTCCAAAGTGTCATATTCATCCTTCTTTAGACAAACTTCCAGTTTTTTGTGTGTATTGAGTCATTTCTCAGTAGATTATTTGGAGACCAACATTTGGGTGTAGCCAAGAGCTCAACATTGCTCTATTAGAGTTTATATGCAATTTAGATAGTACTAATTTTCTACCAGAGTGTTTATTCAGCATGTAATTAGCTTAGAAAAAAGAATATCATTGAGCCTCCAAACTTCCATTAGGCCCCAATGAGCTGTTCTGGAACTTCATCTAAAGAAGGATGTGGAAAACCTGGACAGTTCAGAGGACTACCACAAGTATGATTAAGCTTGGAAAATCAGACCTCTGAGAAAAAGGAGTGGTGTGATTTGGCCTGAAGAACCAAAGTCTAAAAGACAATTTAATATGTAAATGATCTTCAAGTAAGTATGCAAAAGGCGTATTTGGCTATTTTCTGTCCCCACTAAGGAATTAATGGAAAATACAACTAATATGCAGCATGAGAAATGTGGATGCTGGAAGGAATGACATGAAACACAGGGAAGTAAAATTATGAAATGGGTTGTGTTAAAACAAGTCAAGCTATCTATACAAGACGTCTTTAAACACTAACATATTTAGGTACCAAAAGTCAAAGAACAGAAAACAATATATCTTTCAGAGAGACTGAGACTTTGAAAATGTGCAATTACGATAACAAGGCAGACTGCAAAACCAGTCCTGTGTTTTTTCCATTCCTCATTCTGTCTCCTATGATATAAATGATGCTGGCAAATAATTTATTAATTTATTTTACTTTGTATATTTTCACAGTGTGTTTGTTCATTCTTTTGTTACTCAAAAGATTGAGACAGTTTATAAATTATACATTAAAAACCCTAATTGTTAATGTTTTTTTTAATTTTCAAAATTATTTGCTAATTAAGAAAGAGTGAAAAAACAGGTTTTTAATGAATACATTTTGATTTTTTAATGACAGCATTGTTGGACCAACAATCTATTTAGAATTACCACCCAGTGTTAACATTGTCAATTAATATGTCTAGAGATTAGGAAAGGCAGTAAGTCAAAAGTAAGAAAGGTTTAGTAAACTCGAATCACTCATTTGTGGAAGATCAGAACACAAATCAAGAAAACCTATTTGATCACTTGATCAGTAAACCTTGAAATACTAAGCAGGTACGAATACAATTTTAGGTTATGGTGTCTGAGAAACTGGCAGGACCGAGCTCAAACAGTAGCCCAAACTGCTTTCACTAGGAGGTTGCTTGCTTTCAGCTTTTACAATTTATATTAGGTTTTTGACCATATCTGGGTTCACATATTGATTATCACAATTAGAGATAGAAGTGCTTTTGTGTGCCATATAACAGGCATTTATCATTTGAGATACCCAAGAAGTCCTGGAAACTTCTCTGTGAGGCTGACATTGTGATGAGACAGAGGAAAAGTCATAAAGCTGGTTGGAGGGGCACCTGGGTGGCTCAGTTTGTTAAGCATCTGCCTTCGGCTCAGGTCATGATCCCGGAGTCCCAGGATCAAGCTCTGCATCAGGCTCCCTGCTCGGCAGAGAGTCTACTTCTCCCTCCGCCCTTCACCCCGCTTGTGCTCTCTCTCTCACTCTGTCTCAAATAAATAAATAAAATCTTTAAAAAAAGTTTTTTTAAAAAGCTGGTTGGAGTTCCCACACCTGGTCTTATGATTTATTCTATTGGAATCACACTTTCCTAAGCTGTCCATATTTCCCTAATAATAATTGATACACATGTATATTTGTCAAACACTGTTACATCTGAAGCATACTATCACTTTTCCATTTAAAATATAAAGAAACTAAACCTATAATAATTAGAAAGTTACACTAAAAAGTCAACAATCTATGCAATGTGGAGCTGGGACTCAACTATAGAAGTGACTCCAAATTTTACACTCTATTCATTTCACTTCCCCATCCCCCACCCCCATAGGCAACAATTCTGGAAATAATAAGAATAACATGTTTTCTGGGAATATAACAGCTACATGTAAAATGGGATGGTATTATACTATTTAAATGTCACATAAATCCAGGATAATCTTGAGAGGGCTAGCTTTGAAATAAAGTAAGCCCCTGATTTTATATCCTTATATGTCTGTATGTGGTTTTATTTTATTTTATTTTATTTTATTTTATTTTATTTTATTTTTATTTTACAACTTTATCCTTTCTGCCTTACTTTCTCTACTCCTATGTGTTCCTTCAAGAAATATAAGGATGGGCATGTGAGAAGAAAGAGAAGTAAGGGAAATCAGACAGAGTTTTAGAAGATCAAAATATAAGCCAAAGAGGCAGCATACAAAAGAAGAGATTGAGGAAGAGAATGATAAAAGCTGAAATAGTTGTTAAAGTCAAGTTAATAAAGGTTATGCTGCCATAACAAATAACCCCCATATTACAGTAACTTATAGGAACATGTTTAAATCTTTTTCATGTAAAGTGCATTGCAAATCAGCCCTCCTCCTTGTGATGGTCTAGTGTTCTGAGATGCTTTACACTTATGGCATCCCCACATCTGCATAGGATCCCTGCATCATGGCAGCAGGGAAAGAGAAGGCTGGAGAGGTTAGCCCTGGCAGTCTCATAAATTGCTTCTACTTAATTTCATTGTCTAAAACAAGACATACCTCACTTCTGGTGGGAGGAGAATTTCAGTCTGCCATGTGGCTACAAGTGGAAGAGAACCGGATGCTGGTGAATAGTGGCATTGTCACTCACAGTAGTTACCAGAGAAAATCATCAATTGTCACTGAGGAAAAAAAATGTAATATTTCTATCAAGATTTAGCTTATCCTTTAGCTTTCTGGGTTCACAATTGAGTCCAAGGGTAGCTTAAAATCAGAGATAAGGAACAATATTGCTTTCACCTCTGTTTTTTATCATTACATTTATCAGTTCATTCACTGAACTTTGGTTCTTAAAAGCTTTGGGAATATAATGATAGAAAAGTAAGCATTAGACACACATATTTCTTTAAATCTCTTTATTATGGAAATGAGTTGGAGAATCAGTACATTTCATTTCTTTTGAGATTTGTTAGGACATTTTTTAGTTATATCAGCTTAGAACATTAGGTTTTGTATCATGATAATACAATCAAATAAGTAAGAGATGCTTAAAAACAAGGAAACATACAAAAAATTTTTTTGAAGTATACTTAAACATTAAATATGATTTTGATTTTAGTTTCATAATATTCTGTGTCTTCTGATTTTACCTCGATACTATTTTACATCAGAATTTTATAGAAAAATAATTCCTAATTTCTAATTTTAACTATTACTGCCTAATTTACTCATAGTTAGATTTTATTCTTATGTTCTGCAAGAAGACATCAGCATGTCTCTTGTCTTGTACAATAAGTCATGCCACTGAGCATACTTGCACAGTAAATGATTTTGTATAATAGATGACATTACATGCCTAAGTACCCATGAGCAGGTGTTAAAATTGGAAGCATGTAAAGTATTCTTTTTTGGTAGGACATAAGAAGTTGCCAATAGCAAACTCTTCAGGTTGAATGGGGATTAGGTTTCATAGGATAATTTTCTTTTAGTTCTAAGTCTCACATCAAAATAGTGAAATAGACAGGTGCTTGATTGAACCTCACCAGTCCCAGAATTTCCTGAAACCTCCTCCTTATTACTTTTTCTTCTTTACGCCACTGTTCTTCATTAGCCACCTCAATCTTTAAATTTTAAAATATATATATTTTATTGATTTCCTGATGTCTTGTATCACCAACTTGCAATGTCTGACTGCTTTTGGATTAACAATTACAGAGAGACTCTTGTGAATGGATGCTCCCTGCCTAATACATAGCTCTGTCCAATGTTTGCTTGTTGCTGACTCCCAAATTCACAATTTATAATTATAAACCTAATAAAATGAATTATCTCCCACTGTACCTACTATCCCTCACTTATCTTAGCTGTGAACTGTCATAATTGTTGAACAATATTGACATACAGCTTTGGGGGAGAAATGGTCAGGGGAAGAAGTTCCAGAAAGTAGTCAAAGAAAAGAGGAACCGAAGACAATATGATGTTTAAAAGGGAGAAGCGAAAGTCAACTTTAAGTAGGTAATATCATTATTTAAAATAACTAAATGTAGGGTAACCTAGGTGGCTCAGTTGGTTAAGCGTCTGCCTTCTACTCAGGTCATGATCCCAGGGTCCTGGGATCGAGCCCCGTGTCAGGCTCCCTGCTCAGTGGGGAGTCTGCTTCTCCCTCTCCCTCTGCCTGCCGCTCTGCCTGCTTGTGCTCCCTCTCTCTCTCTGTCAAATAAAATAAAAATCTTAAAAAAATAGCTAAATGTATAAATATAGTTCACCTTTTAAGAAAACAGCAATTTTAATCAAAATATTCTCAATTTTCTTTGATTTGGTGGTAGACTACTTAACATTTTTTTGCATGCTTACTATTTTCAGCACCAAATCCAAATTAGTTTTTTTGTAAAATTCTTTTATGTTTAAGATGAGTTTTAAATTTTACTTTTTAAATGACATTTAAACATATTTGTATATTATTATTGCTTATTAACATTCTGCATATTAGAAAGTGATTGTATATTATAAACATAAATATGCAAAGTGAGTTAGTTCTATTTAAATTTATTATGCTCAAATTTATATCACTTTTATTATTGGATAAGTTTCTCCATATAATTTTCTTTGACATGCACCTACTTTATTATTGTGGACTTTTGATATTTGTTCATCAGAGTGTCTTTATTGTGCTCTCAGTATTGAACTGTGATTTACTAAAATCCCTATAAATAGACACATGAGTTTTAACGTTATCACAAGCTGATCTGAGATGGAGAGTAATCTAGAAATTAAATTTTATTTTCCTAAACTAATTCCTAATAATTCAACCACAGTAAATTTTAAAATTCGTTGTCCAAATAATCATAGACAACCAAAGGAAATTTTACATCTCACTTTTACATTGAAAAGCTGCAATAGTGACATTCCCGTTTGTAGTTTTGAAAATGCTCTCCAGCTCTCTAGGGGAAGATTGGCCCCTCACTGAAGTCTTAGGAACTAAACCACATCAGTACCAGAGGAAAGAGCATCCACTTTTCTTTCTCCATTGTGTTTTGTTTTTCACACTTCAGGGACCTGACAACTGCACAAAGTGCTCCCATTTTAAGGATGGCCCGAACTGTGTGGAAAAATGTCCAGACGGCTTACAGGGGGCAAACAGTTTCATTTTCAAGTATGCTGATCAGGATCGGGAGTGCCACCCATGCCATCCAAACTGCACCCAAGGGTAAGCATCCTTGCTGGCCAAGGACTCCATCACACAAGCATCTTTACCCTTGACACAGTCTACTGAATATATATTATTGTCATATAAAACTGTATTCATCTTTATATTAACATGTTGACTTAAAGAGAAATACTTTCTAAGAAAGCGGTTTATGCAATCAAATGTATACCCTCTCAGATATTTCTGTTAAAAATTTACCTAAAAGTATTCTATTGACACCTTTATGAAGCTGGTGGCAGGTATACTTTGTATGGAGTGTAGAAATTCTTCCAAATTTTACTTGTTATTGAAGATACCTTAGAAAAGACAAGATAGTAATCAGACTTTTGAGGTTTGTGCTTAATAAATCTTTAGCAGGAGTTTTCTGTTTATGTTTCTTTGTTCTTACAACCAGCTGAAGGCTAAATACTGCCTTGAATTACTCCTTCAACAAAATATAAGCAAAATGGTGACGACAGGAAAAAAAAAAAGTGTGGGGGGGGAGAATTTAGTGATATGTATATCAATAAAATCACAAATGCATTTTGTGAAAGTAATTTTATGGCAGGTTAACCTATAACTTAGAATTTCTTTGACCAGTATAGGACAACTTGAAGATGGGTAGGTACATAGTTTTCTATTGTTTCAAAAGGATGCATTATAAAATGAATAATAATTAGATTACCTTTGATACTGATAACAGTTGAAAAACAAAGACATATTACAGAAAGAAGAAAAGCACTGAACTGAAAGAAATAATGTCACTCATCTAACAAATCCCAACACTTAATTTTAAAAAAGAGAGCAAATCTATTTTAGTAAGGGCTTTTCTTTTTCTTTCCTCCAGAACGTGACTAATTTCAGACTTGAGAACAATTTAACACACTCTATCCTTCTGTCTGTACATCCTCTTCTCCCTGATGAGTGCCCACACACATGTGTACACATCCACATACAAATACAGATACTTGTTGTCTGTATATATCTGGCAGGAAAGTATGAGATTCCATAAAGAGATTTTCTGCCAGATTAAGAGCTAGCTGCTAGGGGATATTGAAGAAGTTAAGCAAGCAACATCATTTTCTGCCAAGAGGACATCAATTTGCAGATGCTGCCACAATTTCCTGCAGGTCAAGAAATCAGCTTAAGTCACTCTGTGAAGTGGCAGATCCTGAAAAGGTAAAGTAATATTCTGCCATTCAAATTCAAATGCAGCCTGGAAGAGCTAATGCCAACTCGTTGGGTTACACATAAGCACATAGACGGAGGATACTGAAATAGTCGCATAGACACTTTGCTTCAAGGAAACTAGAAGGAATGAACTTCTCCCCTTGCAAGTTTTTGGCACACTTGGGTTAAGAATATTTCATGAAGAAACAACTGGTACCCCTGGAGCAGAAGAGTCAGCAACAGAAAGAGAAAACTTTGCCTGCTGAAATAATCATCCACAGGAGGGTTTTATTGTTTTGCAGCTAAAATTAAACCAGTAAATTATTCAATATAATGTTGATGTCAACAGCTGTTGCCATTCAAAATGAGACCTTTTTCTATTTTCGCAAATCTAATTACAAGGAAGCCATTAGGGAAATGAAAGTGAGATCACAGAGCCATAGTCTGGGTGTGTGGCTGGTGTGTCTTCCTCTTAGCCCTTTTAAATCATGATTATGTAATAAAAGAAAATATATATAGTGAGGGGAAGTAGAAGTAGGGACAATGAAGAGATCAGTTTACCACAGCAACAAAATCCAGATGTCAGCTAAAAAGGGAGGATGAAGGTATAAAGGGAACAAATCCTACCAGATTGTTTAGGAACTCCAAGTAAATAGAAAAATGTCTTTAAATCAACTGTTGCAGAATGATGGTGAGACAATTTGAATGTTGTATTCCCTGGCATCTTCCAAGGTAAATGGATTCTGGGATGACTGATTTAGTCCTGAAGGATTTTTGTACTTGTTTTCATTTAGCCTCCCGCCATCCTTTTCCTAATATCCTCCATATTGTCCAGGTTCACTCACTTCGTGAAAGTTTTGTGGTCCCAACCCCAGAATTCCTAAATTCCTGAATCCAGCTCTACACTGCTGCTGTGCACCTCTGTGCCGTGAGATCCTTTAGTGAAGCAATGAAGTGCTCTGTGCAGTTAATCCCTTCTCTTCAAATTGCACGTAGAGATAGGATCTTTCCCTAGAAAGAGAACAGGGACAATGGAGACAATGAGATGAATGACTATTTTTATTCCTAAACACGTACTAATTGACCTATGGGTGAGTGTGAGCTCACCACGCCAACTCAACTTTGGAAAACAGATTTTCTTTTATATGTCGATATTATGTCAGCTAGGTAATTCAAGAACCAAGTTAATGGAAGTAGTCTTTCAAGACACATTTTTTTTTAGAAGGAAAGTTCTTACTTTGAATACTGTTGAATGATTTTCTGAAAATAAAATTATGTGTGTAATATCTTAAAAGCACTTTTATTACTCTCAAAGTACATTAAATATATTGGCTCTAATAAGTTCTTTGGATACTTTTAAAATAGGTTATCCATTTAGTACCTATCAGGAGATTCTCAATATCCCTAAAGAGGTGGTGGTTGGGGGGGGGGGGGTGGAAGGTCGGTTAACATTGTCTCTTCTTGCCTTGACTAGAGGACTTTTATTTTGGCAGCCTTTTCTCATTTCATTCATTCTTCAACTTGGTTATATTGAACACCTACTGTGCATCAGATACAGTGATAGCTAAGTTCAGAAATGAGTAAGACACAGCTCTTGACCACTAGTGAGTCATGGTTCAGTGAGTTTTCACTCTTAAAATTCATATCTTTCCATTGGAGACCCTTCCCCATATTTTGAAATGATGAGCAAGCATTTATTTATTTATTCATTTTTTAATGATGAGCAAGCATTTAAAACTTAGGAATGATCTTCATGGGGCACCTGGGTGGCTCGGTTGGTTAAGCGGCTGCCTTTGGCTTGGGTCATGATCCCAGGGTCCTGGGATTGACCCCCACATCGGGCTCCCTGCTCAGGGGAGAGCCTGCTTCTCCCTCTCCCTCTGCCTGCCACCCTGCCTACTTGTGCTCTCTCCCAATCAAACAAATAAATAAAATCTTAAAAAAAAAAAAGGAATGATCTGCGTATTTGCAATTAGCAAGATAGAAATTTTTTAAAAAGACTTGTGAACTAAATTTAGTAGGTAATTAAATTGCTATAATGGCAATTACTATGGTTTCTACACTAACATTATTGAGTCCATGATAAATACCAACTTAATTTTGGTTTTGGACTGGGATATTATTTTTCATAAGGCATCTTTGAAAATTTTCATTGAATATTTCTGCTAATATTAGAATCATGGTTTCATATCATTAAATTCCCTATATGCCTTAATCTCTCTTATCAACCCTTTTTATATTTTTTAATTTATGTAGTGAAAAATTTTTCACTGATAGAAGGAAAGAGCTGCTTGTGAAATTATTGACTATACTCTTTTAATTGAAATTTTAAAATATTCCTCCATTTCACAATTTGAAGGAGATTTTGTTAAAATATCTCAACTATGTTAGATATATGGGTACATCAAAATGCTTATAAATCAGTAAGTAGTGACAAATGTTCAACACATCTTGGTGTTCAGAATTCCAGATATTTTTATTGACATGTTATAGTTTCTGATCTTCTGTAAAGTTTTTACTTTTTACCATGAATTTGTAGAGAGTTGCATTATTCCTTATTCTTTTTTGATCTCATATTTGGGATTTTGACTCTTTAAAAGTTTAATGTTTCCATTATTCTGTGATCTTGCTGAATCAATATAAATTGCAAGTGCTATTTAATAAAGCTATAAATAAAGTCCAAAGAGTTGAAATAGAGTACACATCTTTAAATACGCAGCAACTTCTATGTAGAAAAGATGGGGCCGCTTCAATCATACCCTTATTCTTTGTTATCCATTTTTTCTTTCATCTTCACCTTGTAAATATGTTTAAATCTCAAATATCCTATACAATCCACTCAACAAACTTTCTTGACCCTACATCCTGCCCCCTAGGTACTCACCTCCCAATTCCCTTGCCTCTATTCTCGTATCTCCAATTTGCTTCTCGACTCACAGCAACTGAAATTCTGGTGATCTCAACAATGACAACTAAAATGCTCTCAGTAGTTCTTATTTGATGAGACCTCTGTTTGCATTTGACATTGACAATTAACCCATTTCCTGAAGGTCTCTCCTGATTTGGCCCCCACGATGCTGCAATTACCCGATTTTACTCAATTACATTTTCTCATGCTTCTGGCATAGGAGCTTAGCTTAGGTCACTTACTGGCTATTGGAGTTCCGTGGATTTCAGTCTCAGGCTCCACTTTTCTCACTTTATAGATCCTTCTTCAGCTATCTTATCCACTTATTATTTCAACTTTTCCCATATGCTATTTCAAAATTGATCATCATTCTGGTATCTTCACGCCCCCCCCACCACAGACCCCCCTTTCCTGCTGGCAAGGAACATTTCTTACCCAAATGTAGGACAACCACACTAGATACATAAAACTGAAATTATCAACCCCTCCTCCTCCAACACATGCAAAAGGAAAGGTGTCCCTCCTCTTACATTCTCTCACTGATGGTACTACTATTCTCATAGAAGGACATTTGACATGTTTAATTCCTCTGACCCTTCCTCTTCCATCATCAAATCAGCCATCAGCTTCTCTTTTACCCTCCATACCTTTCAAGGTATTTCTTGAATCTGGCCCTGCCTCTAACCTAGTTGCCATTTCCAAAGTTTAATCCTTTTTTCATCTCTTATATAGACCAAAACAGTCTCTGTGCCAGAGAAATCTACCTGGATCCCACCTGACTAGCCTTCACAGGGCAGAGGTCCATGTAAAACACAAATGTAGCAAATCCATTACTTCTTTAAAACTTGCAGTGGTTCTCCATTAAATTTGCTTCTAAGCAAATAGCCTTCAAATTCTGACTGCTGTCTAATGATCTCACTTCTTTTCCCTCTCCCTGTCACCT